TGATCTAGTGGAAGGTGTCCCTGCCCATGGCAGGGGGGTTGGAACTAGACAGTATTTAAGGTCCCTTCCAACCCAAACCATTCTATGAATCTAGGAACGTAATTTCTGTCAGTTGCTGCTCTGTAAATTAAATACCCATGTGTAGAAACATCAGTTTAACATCGGAAGAAATAGAAAGCCTGACAAGTTAACATTGTGATTGCGGTGTAGACTGCATTCCCAGCAACCCCATAAATAGATCTATCTGCGTGAAATCAGTGAGCAGCTAACTGATAGCAGTCAGGAGTTACAGAGAATAGTAAACGCTATCCATCTCAGAGTAAGGAAACCTTTATGTTTGCATATTACCTTTGTAACCCATAGCAAGGTTCATCTGTATTCCCAGGAGAGTTTCCTGTCCTAGGCCTAAGTACTGCAAGTGCTACTTGTCTCCAAGGTCTATGGCACTGTCTTTTCACTTTGAGCGATGCTTCTTGTACAAGCATGAAAACACCTATGTGCAGAGAGTTGCTTCACGATCAGTCTCTCCTGAAGGCACTATTCGGTATCCTTATCCTCTCTCGAGCATGTGTTGTTTTCTTGTTAGTGATACACTTGCAGAATGGGCGAAAAGTATCAGTAGCTGTAAAGGAACTGGAAAGCTGTTTTTCAAAAACTTAGAAAGTGGACACCTTTTGACCTACTATGTCAAATGTGCATAAAGAAGTAGTGGCACGATGGCAACTCTACTGCAGCACATGGCACTGCTTTCTCCCATCAGAGTTTTGAAAATAGATCTTGCTTTCCGCAGAGAAGCAGTTTTTACAGGATGGAATATGAGTACTGTGCAATATTTAGGAGGTTGACCTATGGAATGAAATACAGTATTTTTTGGCAACTCGGTGTTGAATAACTAATATGAGTTCTGGGAAAAGTCTAGTACCAAAGCAAATTATTATGGCATGTATTGTCACCATGCCAAGCGTGTTTCACTGTGGAACATCTCCTGCTACAATTACTTGAACATTTGTGAAGTATTATAGAAGTCAGAAATATATTCTCTCTTAAGTTCTTTGCTCTTACTTCCATAAAATTATGTGATTTGCTCATGTAGTATATTATTTTGCAAGTATTTTTATTTCTGCAGTTCTCTTGCTTCTCAGTCCAAAGAACTGATCATGAAGTTGGTTCACTATGAAGTGAAATTAAAATTAATACTATAAATTTATTGAGAATTAGTATTACTTTTTGGTATTTCAGCATTCTAAGCAGAGGGTTGTGCATGTAGGGAGAGAACAGACTTTTTATAGTTCTGAATCACAAAAAAGTAGCTTGTTTTCTAAGTCGTTATGTATTCATAATTTTAGAATTTGAATTGTGGCTTCTGGTTCACATTTACTAGTAGTTAATGATGTCGCTTAGGACCTCAATTCAGTCAAGTAATTGTTCATTGCCAGATAATGCTCTTTCATCAGTCAGTCACTGGTTGATTTCTGTAGATGTTGGGAGAAATAAAAGGCAGGAATCTTTTTAAAAGCATGGGTTTTTTCCACTATAAATGGCCAAGTTTGTTTGGTTTTCTCGATCGTTTTTTTAAAGTTTGAGTGGATGAGTGGATAGATAACATAATTGTGTGTGTGTATATATATATTTCTTAAATACACCTTTATTATGAAAACGCTTAACACTAAATGTATATTATCTATTCAAGCCACAGTTTAAGTTGTATACGTTAATTACAGGTTTATCAATAGATTATGGGGAGAACAAACTTTACTGGATCAGTTCAGGAAATGGAACCATAAATAGATGCAACTTGGACGGTGGGCATCTTGAAATAATAGAATCAATGAAAGAAGACTTAACAAAAGCCACAGCTTTAACCATTATGGGTAAGTTCCAGTGGTAGTAACTTAGTTTTTAAATATTTGGAATCTAATTAATAATGAAATAGCAAAAGCTTGGAGAAGCTACTGCTACTGGGTTTTTTAATGTAAATAATACATACAGTACATTCAGTAGTGAGACTATTTTGTTTGTGAAAAAAGTTTTTTATATTTCATTGAACAGACAGTTTGTGATCTGTATTACAAGTTTGTGTTTCTAAATATAGTCTTGCATATATATACACAGGATGAAGGTAACAGACTGGCTTATATTTACTGTAGTTACTTGTAAAACATGTTGGAAGGAGATATGTTACACTCTATTACAATGATTTATATGTGAGTTACTTCTGCTGCTCACTTCTTTTCACTATCTTGGTTCAGAATAGCTAGTGTTTGTTGGATAGGCCTGCACTTTGTTGGATAGGCTTGCTTTAAAAATACAAGGCAAGTTTTGTGTCAGAAGGAGTCATGAATGTTGATATAGACAAGTTGTCTTTTGTTGATTTGATTGTGACTAGAAGTAGAATGAATAAATGACCTTTACTTTAGGGAGCTATTGGAAGTCTTTAATATGAGATGTTGTAAAGAGTATTTGTTCATACTGTCACTGAGATGTCTGTGGTATCAGGTCTTCAACTGTGATTCACAGAAGCTACAACAGTGATGATCCATCTGGGATATTGAATGAGGAGCTTATAGCTATCATTTAAAGAAAAGTGTTTCATGCCTGTTTGCATGAAAGTAGTTGAATTTTTGCACGTGATGAGAATTTCTGCTGTGCAGTTTTTAAACATACATGCATCTATTATTCCTTGTTTGGGATGCTTTGTTCTGTGTTTGATGGGTGATAGCAATTCATCTTACTCAAAATTGGTAAACAAAACATATAATGTGATTGGGTTTTTCTGTTTGTTTTGCTTTTGGGTTTTGCCTTTGTTTTGGAGCCATAGTTGTGATAAACTGCAATATGACATTGCAGTACAATTCTGTATATAAATCTGTTGGAGAAAAGTGCAAACAAATACAATATTATAAACAGTACTGTATGTGCTGACTGAAAAACATGAAAAGCTTCTGTATTCATTTCTCCTGTATGTTTTTATATTGTGGAACATACTGTAGCAACATAAATGCCATCTATTTTCCTGAACTGCTGGTGGCTTTACATCAGCTTCTTACAGTCAGGCTTTTGTGCATGTAAAATGGATCAGAACAGAAAATCCAATGCGATACGAAGCAAGATAAGGGATCTGTGATTGATAAATGATCATAACTAATAATATATAAAGAAGAATGAATAATTTGTTCCAATGTAAGATTTAATGTGAGTGCGTGAAAATTTAACACCTCTCCTGATCTGTTTGCCTACACATTTAATAGGAAACTTTAGCAGGTGAATTATAGTAATTACAATGTTTATTGCATCGGTTGTTGTCCCTTTCATAAATTTTCTTTACTGCTTTTATCTAAAAACACAGTAAACACATAAAACCCAACATGAGCTAGAATGTTTCTTCTCTCTGTGTGTACGCAGCTAACTTTTTTTACCCTTTGTATTCATCAGTGACTGAAAAGAAAACAGATACAATATCTGTGCCCAAGCTCTTAAAACCATTTTGTGCCATTTAGGTTCCACTTAGTGCTACAGAGTCCCATAGGCTTCTACTGTCTTTTCCATTTTTCTGTCTTTTGCATTTAGTGTCTCCCCAGCTAAAAGCAGAATTTTGGACAGCTTATATTTTTTGTTTCTTTATTTTAAATATATGATCTTGTCATATTGTTGGGTTCTGTTTCCACTGGGGCAGAAAGAAAGAAGAGATATTGGAGTTTGGTATTTTGAGGCTGTCTTTGTACAGTACTCTCACCAGGTCATACATACACTGGTCAGTTGTTGATCATCAGAACCTTTATTGGTTTGAAGAGCTAAAACAAGGAAAAGGTGGAGGCAATGTCAATGGATTGAGGGGACAGGGTAATGTGATCTGAGACAGCCCTGATTTCCATGTCCCCATCCTCCCCACCAAGGGTAGATGCACTGGGGGGGAAAGGATTGTCAGAAAAAGTGCTGAATTTCTAATAAATTTACTGTATTGGTGATCTCTTCTAGCACCTCAGTCCTCCTTGCTCCTGAAAATTTTTTAGCTGTTTGTGAAGCATGTCTTTACTAGCATCTTCCCCAGCCGTTAGAGTCTCCTTGTCAGAAAGCACAAACTCCCAGAGACACCTGAGGATAATCCAGTAGTCTGCATGAAGAGCCAGTGTCTTCCATTCTGTGTCTGGACAGTCTTTTGCGCAGAAAACTAACAGATCTTCTGATAGTTTCTAGTGGGTTTTGCTATATCTTACAGTTTATGTTCCAGAAGATTTTTCAGAACTATAAAAAACTAATGACTGACAGAGGCTTGGCCCAAGACTGACTTTCTTCCTTTAGTAATCTCTGTACTGTTCTGATATCTCTGTATTATCTTGATCTTTGATTCTGTTATTTTAAAAATGAGAAAAGAAATAAGAAGCAATTAATAATGCTAACTAGGTCAGTAAAGTTTTGATTTGCTTTTTAATATAGCTTATGGAGTAGTTCAGAGCTTCACCAGGCAATGGGGATTGCCACTCCCCTTTAGTACTACTCCTCAATCTTCTTCTTGTACATCATTGCTTTTCAATCTCTCTATTTTAGTGTTGCAGTTTAGCTGTTATAAACTGTTTGGAAGTTACCACTAGTGTTTCAGACGTTTACTGTTGTTTAGTCCTTTCCAGGCTCTGTTTAACATTTTCCTACTGTTATATCCTTTAGTGGGAGCGTGTAGAGGGTAATGATAAGACATGAAAAAATAATGTTAGCAAACAAGTTGGTGCCAGAGTGACTCTCAGGTTTATTCTTGAGGGAATTGGAAACAAGTTATATAATTCACATCTTTCTGTGTTTTGGTTCTTTCATTTATTGGTTTTCTACTCAGTGGTGTCAGTCATATTTCTTTTTCCATATGCTGAGCTCCAAAATTCCTAGTCCTTTTGTACCTGTTTTTGCTACATCTTTTTGAGCATGATATAGATGGGATGAAAATTATATTCTGTTAGAATATATATTTTATATATATTTGAATATATATTTTGCTTTTCTACTCTTCCCACTTCTTCAAATACACATTCACTGTTGGAAATGTCAGTGCGTGCAACATCAGCCATTTTTAGTGAATTTACCATTCAAAAATGCATGTGAATGTTTTGTTCAATATGTTTCACAGTTTATTGTCTTGCATTTGATCAATGGTAATTTTCTTCTGCTACTATGTTAACTTTTCATTTTATTTTGTTCAAAAACCTCTGAAGTTTCTTCTGGTCTTTTAGAAGCTTATATAATTCACAGCACCCCATGTCCTAATTTTCAACACCTACTACTGACACCATTTAGAAATCGATAACAAATATATCCACTGTTTTGGAAACTCAGGATGTTCCATGTGAGAGAATCTCTGATTTTCTTATATGGTACAGCAATATTCTTTTCAACATTAAGAAAATGCTTCCTATACTTGTGTTAAGGTTTGAGTTTAATGTATTATATTCAGTATCTGATTTTAGCAGTTTTCCTGGTAGCCAGTGTCTGAGTGTGATCAACTTAGATGTATTTGGCATTCTGCATGAAGTCTTAATTCCTGCCTTCCAAATTATTTAATGAAAATGGTTCCTTGACTGTAACTAAAACTGGTTGGAAATTTACCTCTGTGATGAGAACTATATGTACTTCTGGATTGGTGAGCAGACTCGTTATATTACAAGATTTGAATTACTAAGGAACTTGCAGCAATCTCTGATGTATTTCCAAACTGGTGTATTCTTTCTTGAATGATATATGGATCTGAATCATAAACTGAGCATTGCTGAAAAAGTATTGATTAGTTACTGTAAGTTTGTAGCTGAGAAGAAAAAGATACTGAAGGTTTCTGTCAGCAATTCTGGTAGAGGTATTTGATTGGATTTTATATCAAGTCCTCACAGAAATACAGTTTACACAAAATCACAAAATTCAGCTCATTTCACTATAAAATAGGAATATGATGTAGATTGCGTAGATGGTATAACGAGGATATCATTTGTTGTGTGTTGATGATTTTTTTTTTTTTAAAAATACTTATGGTAGAAACCTCAAAGGAAATATTCCATAATGCTAAGTAGTAGCCTTTTTCTAGTTGTTGTTTACTAGTATAAAATAGAGTAACTTCATGTAGTGAATGATTCTATGTGTAAGTGCTGTTTCTGTTGAAATTCATGTAAAAAAAAAATTAAATCAACCATACAACAAAATCAGACATACAGCTTTTCAATGGGAGTGCAGATATTAGAACAATGTATTTTGAACACAACCTGTATATAATACAGCCATTAAGGTGTATTATCAAACAATCAAAATAGTCAGTAACAATTACTGTGTTTCATTTTAGACAGAAAATTTGGGTTCATAGTAATGAAATATATTCATACTACTATTCACTTTGATCATGTGGTTAAATGATATATTGGTTATTTGATTTTTTGTTTTATCCTAAATTTCAAAAATAACATCAGAATGCATTTCTGGTAACTTAAACGGTCGGAGCTCTGACTTTGCTGGATGAAATTGTGAAGTAAAAGGAGCTGCTTAGATCAGGAAACTTCAAATACATACACCTTAATTTTCCAACTCATCGATCTTCTAATTGCTATAACACCATTCATTACCTTAGCATTAATATATGAAATATATCTAGGCAATTTGCCCAGTTCTAAGTACAGTACATAGCTGTCTTCCATAAATACTCAAACTACCATTCATGAAAACTAATGGCCCATCAAAATTTGCATTCAGAGTACTGCTTGAAATCTCCAAAGGACTGTCCACAATGCTAGTGTAGCAATTTTTGGCATTTGAAATTGCTGTTTCCCAATATGTTCCTGTGCTTAATGCTGGTCACACAACAAAATGGATAAATACAACAATTTTAATATATATAACCCAGTTTCAG